ACTGTGGTCTGTCATGTCCCTCTATTGTTTGAGCCAGGAGGCTTTTAAGAAAACATGGAGTTTAATTGAATTTGAGGTTATTGATTTTTCCTTGGCATAGGTTACTCACAACGCAAACCTAAATTGTACTACCACTATACGATTGATTGATAGATTTGATATGCGAATGTTTATAAGAATGGTGATATGATATACCATATGCTATATGAATGATGAATATTATGAATATGTTTTGATTGATTTCTTTTTGTTAATTCATCCGGCACCACAGTCAGTCAGTTAAGTTATAAAGGAATAAGGTATTAAAACAACAACAAAATTTTCATATTTAACACCACCAACCTTCCGGTGGCTGCAGCAAGGGAGGATCTAAGAAGGGTCGGAGTAGCGGTTCTATTCCTGCGTGTACATAATGTCAAATATCAGTGATCGGCGCTCGTCGTAGCAGTATGCCGTCCTTGGCTGAACCTCGTATGCCAAATCTGTGGTTTGAAATTGCCTCCAAAGTCTATGAACCACAGAAGGACTCACATTTGCCATGTGCCACTTCTGTTTGAGTTTGTCCTGCCTCTAGTCTCCCAATGGCTCTCTATCGCAGTTCTGCAGGCAAATGATGCCTGGAGGTCATTCTTATGAATTGGCTATCTCAGATTTCTGATGTCACTGTAACACTGAAATATGTGGGTTTGCTCTTAAACATAGATTTTTTTTTCTCCTCGCAGACAACGTATTCCGAAAGCAGTGCCATTAATTTGCATAATGCAGTTTTATTCAGCTACTATTATTTGGCAACATATTCAAATTTTACACAATTTGGCTTATTTTTGTGGGGAGTTATCGCTATTTTTGTGATTTTTCCTTAATTTATGATAACCAGTGTATCTGATAACTGTAACAAAATTGACATTCTTTATAAACTTTCACTTAATGAAAAGAGGATAACAAAAAGAGGATTGAAAGAAGTACATCATTCTTTTCATATCAGGATTTTTCAAATATTTACCTTTAAAGTCCCCGAAAAGCTATGCTTTGAAAATTTCCATCTTTAATGCTGCATAATTATTCTGAAGAAATTTTTAGAAGTTAAATAGCTTTAAATAATTTTATATTTTGTTTTATGAAATTTTAATTTTTACAAAAAATAATTAATTAAAATCATTAATTTTTCATATTTTTTTAAATTCCTCAGGATTAATAGTTTTCACAAAGTTTCATAACTGTTTACCTTTATTTAATAAAATATAATTCCATTTTATATATAAATAATGAAAAACAATTGGCAAACCCTTCCAATTCAACACTTTACTAAACTATTTTTTTTAATTAATTAAATAAGAAAACTAAGCAACAAATAAAGTAAATGTTTACCAAAAACATTTCTTATAGATATTGTTTAAGTAAAATCTATTTAATGGAATTCTCTATAGCCACATGCATGTCTGTGCTGAGGTAGCATAATAATCTGGCAGTACTCTTCTATTACCAGAATGAGACTCCGAAATGTATGTATGTATGCGCATGAATGTAAGCATATACATATGTGTATACACACAAATACAAATGTACATACATATAATCCAAGCATACATGAACACGTATAGCTATGCATATGTGCATACACACATTTCTGAATCCTGTCCTGATAACTAAAGAATATTCATTTGCCTTTAAGTTTACGGCTAGTATGAAAGATTTAACACCTTAATTTTTCTTAATTTACTTCTATAAATTATCCCGAGTATAAAAAGATGGTTATTGTTAAGAGAAAGATGACAAGACTCTACTGAACTTTAGTTTTTAGGCAACATTTTATTTCTTTAATGTATTATATAATCTTCATTTAAAAAATAAAAGGTTGATCTTTACAATATGGTAACTGGTAGTTTGGCGACATTTTGGAGGCGATAAAGTTACTACCTGGGACTTTGGTAATAATGTGAGCAGTACTCAGTTCCGATTACGCATTATTTTGTGTGAGGGAAATGAGAGATCATGGGATATGTCATGTGATATTAATGGACGAATTACGGTTCTTTAATCTTTAATCGGAAAAGGGGGGAAATCGGGAAAAAATCTGGAAATTTTTGTATTTGGCTTTATCCTGTGTTGTGTGAAACAGTGTTCGTGAATTTTTGGATCCCATGGCCGTAACTAAAGTGAATTCGAAATGGGTATTTATGTATGTATTAATTTATGTATGTGCTCATTTATATTTAAAGTAGTGTTTTTTTGAATTTAATTATATTTTAATTAAATGATAGTTATTTTGTGAATTTTATGTTTTGTAGGAATTTGGTTATACGTTTTAGTTGAAGTAAACGTGCATGGAAATAATTTAAATATCTGACATAAGTATTTGTAATGGTTGCAGTATGAATTCGTTGGTGACGTGCATAATGTAATAGATGATTTAGAGGTAAAAGGTTTTGGATATTTTATTTATTTTATATGTGGAAATGTTCATTACTTTTTCGCGATCAGGTAATTTCATATATGTTCTTTTTACCGGGTTTAAAGATTGAGAAAATTGTCATGTATTTTCGTGAAATTTTTCTAATTTGTGAGAAAAAGCAGTGTGTACAGGATATAGTGAAAGTGTGCGCAATGCCATTTTTGTGCAATTCTGGATGTTTTTTTTAAGTAAAATAAGTCGGGCGTGTACATGGTTTATGTGTATGTGTTATTTTGAAAAACGCATAAGGAGTATGGTATTGTGCACTTTTTCCCAATTTTGCAGTGAATATTTGTCATGATTAAGCAGTTTTGTTAGATAAAATTTCTAGCATAAGTGTAATTCGGCTAGTAGATTGTTGGAAGAAGTGGTTCAGTAGATAAAAAGAAAAGAAACATGTCTTTAAAAAAATAGAGGGTTGCTGTAGGAGAGTTGGTCGCCAAATTTTCGCCAAAAAAAACGCCAAGTTACCATAATGTAAAGATCAACCAAATAAAATTTATATTTTAAATTGCTAAATTGTGTTTTCTTCTGATCTGCTGATAATGTTTGCAGACTTACGAAAAATATCAGTAATTTGTCAGTCTTTTTGAACAAGTCACCAAAATTTCTAACTTATGTCTGAAAAGCAACTGTTGCTCACATTCATTTTATGCACAGGGAAAACCATGAAAAAATCCACGCATCATGCCATGCACTAGGATCCGAGACCAGGCTGAATTACTAGGGTTCAGGAATCTTATTCTCTAGCAAGCACAATCTACTTTCATACTGATTACTCATATATATATATATATATATATATATAAATTAAAAGCTTGAGGAAATAGTGGCAGTTTTTAGGTAACCAGCAGTTTGGCGACATTAGCAAGTTATTACAGCAAAAAAAGACTGCTAACAGATGATCAGCAGTAATTTAGCATACAACAGCATTGGCCAATGGGCAAATAAGTTCCATGTTTATGTAACTAAGATTCAACCACTTTTTATAAATTTTATGCATTTTGTTACACATAATGCTTATTAGCATTTTGCAATTTATTTTAGTTTATACAATTATATTGTATATATATTTTATACTTGAAAATGGATACATGCGTGATGAATAAGTATAAATATACACAAAAAAAATATGCATTTTTAGCAATTAAGCATTTTCATACATGATTTTCTCCGATTTCAGAGATTATTCATAATTTAACTCCATTTTTAATCAGAATTCTCTGAATTTTTGTCACAGCTTATTTAAACATCATGTATATGAAATTACTTCCAAGAAAACAGATTTCCGTACAGCTCTGTTCTGCAATATCTGTGAAAAATTTCGATCACACTTTCAGCCAATAGACATCTTGGAAGCACTTTTCAGCATTTTTTTTTTAAATTTATTTTATTTTATCCTATTTTAAAGGTAAAGCCACTTTTGACGAGCTGAAATACGTGGAAACAAAATTAATTTTTTTAATAGGAAACAATTTAACAGAGGACTAAAACACAAAAAAGAAGAGGGGGATTGGTTCCACCACTTTAGTGAAAAATTTCAATTACTAGTTTAGCTAAAGGGCATTTTGAAATATTTTAGAATCACTTTTGATATTGATTTCAGAGACACAGTGTTTTTCTTCAGATGAAATCAAAATAAAGTGGAAAAATTTGCAACTATCTCATTTGAGAATCAAAACAGGAAATTAAAATGGCATCTAAACAAATGAAGAAAAAAAAAAAAAGCAGCAAACTGGCTTCATTGGATTGGTCATCGAATCTTTGGTAAGTTACCATAAATTGAAGATTAACCAAAAGGCACTTCTCTTTAAATAAGGGAAACAATTTAAAGAATACTACCACATATTTAAAAAAAAAGCCTTGCCAATGGCCAAGACTACTGAACACTAGTAGTTCAACCTATTTTGTGTTCAAACCGAAGCAAATAGGCTTGTTTTCCCCACATCAGATAGTCCTTCATGGATGTATCCCTACTTTTAGGCAGAGAGCCCTTATTATTTTGCAATATTAAACTAACAGGTATATACAGTGCAAGTTGTTTCACTAAAAAAATTTATTCACTACAATATCAATGGTCAATTTTGATAGCCTCCAAGGCTTTAAAAGGATATATATATTTTTTTAAGCATGTTTTGGGCACATATTCTGAGCACTTTTCCATTACACATCTGTCATGCATTTAGGAAATGCTGTTATAATAAGATGTGTGTGTTTAATTATTCTTTTTTACGCACACCCACATACTCCCCAGGTAGGTTCCTTAATGGTTCTCAGCATGTGTCTGGCTTCTCTTTCACAGGAGCCAAAAAATCATGGCAGGTGGATAATGGAAAAGTGCCATATTATGCAATAAACACATTTTCTATAAAATCATTTGTGAAAAATCGTTGTTTTGCTGTAAAAAATATGTCTAATATGCTACTTTTGTTTTAAATTCAATAAAATAATAGAGAAAATCAAACTTTATGCTTTTTGATAAAAAAATAATAAAATTTGAAAAAAAAATTAAACTGAATTTAGTAAAAGATATTTCTAACATATTTACTCGACTAGGTTGTCTTGGATGGCCTTCAATATCTTGCATCATACAATTCCATTCTTCATTTATTTTCTGAATATAGTAAGGTACACCAAAGGAACAAAGCATATCATCATCAAAGCAAGGATTTATATAACCTTCAAAACAGCTTTTACTTTCATTATAATCATCTGTATAACCATTGTTCAGAAACTTAATTCTAGACTTATCAAAACACTCTTTAGTACCATCATCAAAATGTTGAATGTACTCACACTGAAAATTCTCATTGGAATTTGAAAATTTTATACTCTCGTCCTCACTAGAAGTAATTTCATCATCAGAAACAAAATGTAATATGGTACTATCACCATCACTGGAGTTATTTTCATCATTAAAATATTTTATGGGTAATTTTTGATACTGTAAAAATGACTTATCACTATCTCCTGACTTAGCTGGAAAGCTGAAAGAAAAACTATCATTATCACTACTTGAATCATCTGTTGGTTCATCACCACAATAAAATATGCTTTTAGCATATGTGCTTAAGATGGGATAAATATTTTTATTTAGTTGTACTGGCTCATTCAAGTCTTGTTGAGGTTTGATTTTACAATGATTTGAATCTAAATGTTCACGAAAATGTTCCATGGGGAATTCCTGATGTTGCAAAACTGACCTACAACTATTTTCATCAGCAGAAACAAAATGTGTAATTACATCACTGTCATCATCACTGGAAACTTGTTCATCACTAAAATACTTTATGGGAGATTTCTGATAATGTAAAAATGACTTATCACTATATTTTGACTTAGCTTGAGAGGTGAACAAAACACTGTCATTATCAGAATCATCCGAGGATTCATCACCACAATAAAACATGTGTTTAACATATGAGCCCAAAATGGAATCAGTACTTTTACTTTGATGTAACAATCCAACCAAGTCTTTTTCTGATTCAGTTTCCCGATTTGAATTTAAATCATCACTAAAATTTCCCATAGTGGACTCCTGATGTTGACCACGTGATCTACAATTACTTTCAGGAGCAGTTGCAGGAGTAAGCAAGATTATTTTATTATCACTATTTGAGTCATTAACCATATAACCTAAAGACTTTTGAATACAGTAAGACATGCTTCTAGAATAAGAATTTAAAATGTCATCATTACATTTACTATGATGTAATAGTTTAATCGAGTCTCTTTCAGAATCAATTGCCCAGTCATCTTCCTGCAATATATTACTTTGTACTGGGATGAATATGGGACTAGATGCATCATAACAAGTTAATTGTGTCTCAACATCATCAATTACTTTACAGTCTTCAACGATTTTAAAGGCAACAGTATTTCGTTTCTGACGCTTAGAGAATTTTTTATCAACGTCTTTGCAAGTCTTCTTTCTTACGTCGTTACAGATATACATTTGTGGACAAGAACAAAAACACTTGGATACGTCGTCCAGTTTTTGTTTTCTACACTCGCAATTGACATTAATATCTTTTAAAGCAATATGAGAATTATAATTACGAAGAAAAAGACAGCGAATTTCAAATATGTGATCATTTAGGGCTGTACAAATTTTCGAGCGTGAAATTTCTCTCAAAGAAATTATGGCTAATTCTTTGAGCATCACGGAAGTATAATTGGGGGATTGCTCATTCAAATAAGAGAAGTAATATTTTATCCAATAACTAAGGCAGTTCCAAGAAGTTCTATAAAAGTCCTTCGTCAATAAGCTGTTACGCAGATGAATGATCTCTTGCGTCATGTTGTCGCGTTCTTTAAAACATATGCAATACAATAAAAATTCAACACTACATACAAAGTCTGCGTTAAAAACAAAACTTGGACTAAAAATATCATTCAGACGAAAGGATTCAAGCCATTTACTGTTATCAATAAGATTTAGTTTAGCAAAGTAAGTTTCCATGATGAAACCGGAAACAACAATGAAAATTTTTCCGAAAGAACTAACTTACGAACCACTTGAAATAAACTCGTTAATGTACAAAATCTAAAAGAAAATTTGGGGTAAAAATTATCGAATCTTTTTAAATTTCCGACCATGAGGAGTTATAAAAATTACGTTTAAACACACCTATTTCTCACATACCCAGAAAATTGAAGAGTGCGCGAAATTAAATGATTTACCAAGTGATGCCATCCAGATGACATAAATTGTGAAAATAGTTTTGAGGCTACATTGATAGCAAGTTTCATTGCATGCAATTCTTGACCTCAGAGGAGTTCGAACTGGGTTCTGTTTATGATTATATTTTTGAATATGCTGCATGATTCTTTCAAAGAATTTCGTTAAAGGGAGGCGCAGAATAATATCTCTTAAATTATTATGATTTTCAGGGTCTTTCCTTGGTTGAGCTAAAATAATGAAAACAGCATGCTTCCACTGCTGTGGACATATTAAAACGATGAATTTTATCTGTAATTCATTCATTTACTGTAAAAGAATCCTTAATGATAATGATATTTTCCACGATGCTGGTGATCTTATTTTAAGAGTAATTATGGGACGCCTTGATGTTGAAGAGGATCGGCATCACGGAGGTTAGAATAGAGGGAGGGCAGGTTCAAATCAAACCGTGAATTTTGGCGACCATGGGTTACTATTACTGCTGTCACTATTGGATTATTTTTCAGCATGTAGGGATTTAGTAAAGGCACTTATAGAAAATTATCTCCGTGTAAGATATATATATTGGGGGAAAATAAAATAAATGCTGCTGCACCTGTTCGATAGATGCACAAAAGCAATTTTATTCAAAGGGCAGTAGAAAAAAAATACTTTAATACATGTGATATATAGTTTATGGAAACCATTATGCCTCTGTTTTTGGATACATAAGCTGAAATAGTATATCCCATTGGATATAAAATTAGAAAAGTCTGTACATTTATATCTTTTCATAGTTATTTATTTCTGTGTAAATTGTATATCTCGAAATATTCTCAAATACTTGTCAGTTTTGTATGTTATAGAATTATTAAGAGGTAAGCCAAAATACTTGTCATATTTAACCATTTGCATATTACATTTAAAATTAAATTTTAAATGTATGTAAAAATTAAATTTTATATGTATGTAATTCCAAAAATAATCTGAAGTTAAAAAACACTTGGTTGTATATTTCCAGAAATGATAATATATTTATAAGGAATATCTTATTATACTTACGTACTGTTTTATGAAGAAGAAAGTGTTATAAATATCTCAAAATCAATGAAAGAAATTTGTTTCAGAATGCTATAAATTTACTGATTTATGTTTTTTCAGAAGGCTTGTAGAGCCATTAAGATTTTTTTGAAGCAGGAGTCATGAAAAATCTGCAACGCCTTCGCCGGAACTCGAACAATGGGCCTCTCGTATACGCGTCGAGCGTGTTGACCACTACACTACGAAGGCATGCTAAGCAGGCTGAAAAATACCTTATATACACCCCGTTTAAAAGGGCGACTGGGGTTTTAAGGGACCCAGTTGCCAAATTCTGGTGGTGAAGAATCATTATTTACCACTTTTTATTTCGGGCGCCAGTGTAGAAACGTTAGGTATTTTTTGAAAGCAGGAGAGATGAAAAATGAGCAACGCCTTAGCGGGGACTCGAACCACGGACCTCTCGAATACGCGTCGTGCGTACTGACCACTACACTAGGAAGGCATGCTAAGAAGGCGGGAGAAATACCTTGTAAGCATGTTATTTTCTATGTAAAATTGTTAGGATATTTATTCCATTTTCATTCTTGTTGCGATCTAATGTGAATGAATTAGATACACATCCTCTTTTTTAAATATAAAACTTATATTAAGTAGTTGCAGTTAATTATATTTTGGCAGTTAAAAGCTAGAGTTGTATTTATTTTTCGATGATTAGATTTTTTCAGGAAAAGGGAGCGGTGTTTCGGAAATTCTGGACGGACACTGGGATCCAATTATTTGGTCAGTGTTCCCCAAATAGATTATATTGGCGGGTTGTGATTAGCATTTACAATGAGAAAGAGCTGTTAAAGTGCCATCTCTACGCGAAGTTTTGTTTACTACAAGGATGTCAAACTCGCGGCCCGCGGGCCGTATGCAGCCCACAACAAATATTTTTGCGGCCCGGCCAATATATCGGCAAATAATAATATATAATAATAAAATAACATATCGACGAAGAAAAAATGAAATGTTTACTGCTAAGTAATTAACGATAATTTATTCATTGTTGTTAGATTACTCACAGCGAGCTGACACACACACTACTTAAATTACAAATGCGTGTGAGTAGCTTGCGTTCAGCTACCTTCGGCTTTTGGGGGACACGTGCACTCAGAACTTGTACGCATCCCCCGATAGCCGAATGTGGCCGAACTCATGGTCTCAGTTTTCCAATCATAGTTTTGTACGATATATTGGTGCATGCATGTGCATGCACTTTGCTTTATTATTAATTATTACTTAATTCATATTGTTACGGATTTCATAGTTATTTATTTATTTAGTTTTTTTTATTTAGAATTGTAAATTAGATTTGCTTCATGTTGCCTTAGCAACGCAGACGATTTTTGAAAAGACAGCTGCGTTGGAAGGTTAAAAATAGAACAGCGCGTGCATTTAATACCTAATAAATAAATATCTCGTAATTGCTGTTGCCATCCACAAAAATCCAGATATTTATAGATGTTTCCAGTATATTCGAGAAATTAATTATAAAGCTTATAAAAGCCGAGAACAAACAACTCATCTCAGTAGTAGCTGTAGTTCTAGCGAACTGTTTGTTTACTTAATGCTGTGATTGATTTGTAGCGATTTCGCTGTGAGATAGAATTAGTTTCTCTGTTTTGAATTGACTTTTGCTAAACGTTTGATATTTTGTGATATTGTTAAAATATTTTTGAATTTTGAAGAAATATTTCAGCATTTTGATTTATCTCTTGTGGAAAGAATAAATTTTTGTTAACTTTTTAACGTTAACCGTGTTTATTCCAGCCCTTTGTATTCAGTATGTCTATATCAAAACCAAGTGGTAGTAAAATTAAACGAAAAATCGCTGACCAACATAGAATATTCCAAGTAAAATGGGAATTAGAATATTTTTGCTGTGAAATAAAAGATAAAATAATCTGCTTGATATGTAATAATACTATTAATGTACCAAAGTTATATAATATTAAACGTCATTACGAACAACACAAATCGAAATATAACAATTACGAAGGATTAATGAGAGAAGAAAAGTTGAAAGAGCTCAAGTTAGGAGTGAAAAAGCAACAGTCCATGTTTAGTAAAGTATTGCAAGAAAGTGAAGCGGCGGTACATGCAAGCTACGTCTTGTCCGAGTTGATAGCTAAACATTCGAAGCCTTTTACTGACGGTGATTTCATCAAGGAATGCCTAATGAAAGCTGGAGAAATTGTTTGTCCTGGAAATGTGAAGGCTTTTCAATCAATTTCATTGTCTCGAAATACAGTTGCGGAAAGAGTTACTGATTTAGCCGCGAATTTAAGTGATCAGATCAAAGCAAAATCATCTAGTTTCGAAAGTTTCTCCATTGCCTGTGACGAGAGCACGGACATTAGTGGCAAAGCTCAATTAGCAGTGTTTCTTCGTTCTTGTGACAAGAATTTTAAACATTTTTGAGGAATTACTGGAACTAATACCGATGCCTGGTACTACCACAGGAGAAGATATATTTACTTGTGTTTTTGGACTTCTGCAGAAATACAATCTACCTTTGGCAAAATTAAATTCTGTAGCTACAGATGGCGCTCCATCAATGACCGAGAAAAACATGGGCTTCGTAGCATTACTAAGAAAAAAACTTAGTGAAATTCACGGTTCAAACATTCATCATATGCATTGTATTATACATCAAGAAGTTCTATGCACGAAAGTAATAAATACGGAGAATGTTTTGTCATATATTAAAAAAAGGTTTAAATCAGCGTCAATTCACTGCTTTCTTAAGTGAGTTAGATAGTGAATATTCGGGTTTGTCCTACTATACCGAGGTACGTTGGTTATCTTGCTCCAAGATTCTCAAACAATTCTGGGATTTGAAAGAAGAAATATGTCAGTTTTTAAAAACGAAAAATCAAGACGTAAGTTTGTTTTACGATCCAATATGGATACAAGATTTATCTTTCTTGGTTGATATAACCAAACACTTAACCGATTTAAATTTATCGTTACAAGGAAAGATCATATCATTACGAACATGTTTGACATAATTAAAGCATTCAAATGTCAACTAGTTCTTTGGGAAAAACAACTTAAAAATGAAGATTTGACGCACTTCCCGACGTGCAGCATGAACAAATCAAGTTTAGATGATACTTGTTCGTATCAAAAATACGCAGAAAAAATTGCAAATTTAACAACTGAATTTGAAACGAGGTTTAATGATTTTAGTTCCCTCGAAGACAAATTTTTTTTTGTTTTCTTCGATTTTCTCAATAAGTATTGACTCAGTACCCAGCCATATGCAAATGGAGGTGATCGAGATTCAATGCAACTCAAATTTGAAAGCAAAATTCATTGAAGTGGGCGTGCCTGAATTTTACAAATATTTACCAGCCAGGTTTGAAAATACTCGAAAATTCGCATATGAAATTATTTCCATGTTTGGTAGCACTTATCGGTGCGAGCAGTTATTTTCAGTCATGAAAGGTAATAAGTCTCCTATTAGAAACCGTATTAATGATGCTCACCTTGGGTCAGCGTTGAAAGTTATCACTGCAAACAAAATTTCTCCCGAAATAGGAAAGATAATAGCAGAGAAGAGATGTCAAGTATCAGGACGTAAACATTAAATTTTTCTTGTTCTTTTGTATATATATATATATATATGTGTGTGTGTGTGTGTGTGTTTATTTTTGTATTATTCGAAATAAATCTACGTCTCTATGAATATTGATTTTTTTTTTCTTTTTTTTTCGGCCCGCCTAAAGTTAAACCTTGTTTGTTTGGCCCAAGTGTACCTATGAGTTTGACATCCCTGGTTTACTAGGTGTTGAAAGGAAGAATTAATTGGCGTCTTTGCTTTACTAATTTTGCATTGTGAATGTTTCAAGTGAAGAGGCTTCAAGTAAATTTTATTTGGGTGGCAATTAAAAGGGCAGCAGCGATCTTTT